ACAGTCGACCGTGATCCTGACGCATGGTTATGGGTGTCTTGGCGCTGGGTTCGGTGGGCTCACCGCGCCTTGTCCTTGGTGGAGCCCTCCGCCGTTTCCCTGACGCCGGCGACAGCATTCGATCGTGCGGACATTGGCCCGACCGCACTCCCAACAGAATATCTTCCGTGCGTTGCGACATCGCCTGGCATAATGTCCTTCCTGCCCAGTACAGTAAAAACACTTTACAATACTTGTTAAAGCAATAACAACGCTTTACTAAACTTGTTAACACAATTCATCTTATAGCTTGCTTATTCGCAACTCACTTCTCTGCTTTACTTGTAGCTTGCTGACTTGTAACTCACTCCGGTGTCTGGTGGCGCCCTTATATACCTGCGCTCACACTCATGGCAACTCTAGAACGTTCTGAAGTTTATCGCTCATTCTCTTTCTCTCGCTGTTCGCAGTGTTCATCCAACTTGACGTTTTTCTTTGTGGAACATTCTACGTCATTCCTCGAACATTCTGCCTGTTTCTCGTTGTTCGCTTTGTGTTGCCGCAGTATTCGCCACAATATGCCCCTTTTGAACTTTGACTATTACATTAAAACGCTGTATAGGTTAAGGACTCGTTGAATGTTCTAATAATTTACAAAATTTTTAAGTAGTTAAAACGATAACTTAAGTTGATTATAGCTTTTTTAATGTCATTCCTAACGTTCGCATTGGCACATTCGCATTCTCCAATGTGAAAAATATGACATTCGAAACATCCCTGGTATGTACATACATATAGTGTCCACAAAATAAAAGAATTGCGATATTTTGACCGGTTTTGGCATTTGGCATTTGTCTTTTGTTTATGTAGTGTTTATTCTTTTTTTATAAAAGTCTAGATGGTATACAACAAACACCATATAAATTCAGATTTCAGACATTGTACAAAAACCAGAAAAATTCTTCTTATTTTTACCAAAATTTCAAACTTTTTAATCAGTGTTTTGGTATGCAGTTTTGTAGACCATTTAATTCTAGTATAATGAAGTGCAAGTTTAAAGCTGCTATAAAATCTCGTTAATTTTTAGCAATTTTTTTTGCTGGCAGTGTCCTTCATATAAAAGGAAATTGTCGAACATACTTTTGAATGGAAAAAACGTGAAACACCTTCAACCAAAAAAATTCACTTTTGTGAGCTGTCTGCAAATGTTTTTTTGATGTTGGCTGTTGTCTGTCGCTTCACCTGAACATATGAAAAGAAATTCCAAATAATAGGCAAAGAATCGGCGAAAAAAGCCCGATGCCGATGCTCAATTTTGTACCGATACTAGCCGATGCCGATGCCGATTAATCAGTCGGACTCTAGAATAAGGAGCGAAGTTCAGCATGTTCAAACAATCGAAAAGCTTTCGCTTTTCTATTTGCTGTATCTCAAAGGCAAAACATGATATCGGTACAAAATTTATTTAATTGTAAATTTAGTGCTGATTAAGGAAAAAGTTATTAGGTTACTATCAAACATTGAATTAGGGGTTGGAATGAGGGGCGAATGGCTTTCAAAATATATGTTCTTATGTATATCGACCCCCCCACCCCGGGCCACCTACCGGCAAAATTTTTCCTGAATATATTTCCTTCCAAATTTCCGACGATATGTGTAAACTAGATGGTTCCATTTGAAAAGACAATCTTAACTAATAGCCAAATATAAATTTAGTTTAGTAAGTAGAGTGAAGTACTAAACTTACATTTTTTGACTTGTTTTCATGCAAATAGAGGAATATTAACTGAAAATCGATACCTGCGTGGAAGATCGACATATCTCGGCAGCCAATTCGAAGAAGCCCTATTTTAGAAAACATTTCAAGAACGTTCTATCTCATAATTCGGTTCAAAAGCGCCCTAACTCAGCTGCCGATTCATAAACGCCCCATCTCAGCACATTTTCAATACATTTTCATTTGATATAGGGCGTTTTTGAACCAAAATCTGAAATAGGGCCTTCTTAAACCAAATTCTGGGATAGGGTGTTTTTTAATAAAATTCTGAAATAGGGTGTTCTTCAATCAAATTCTGAAGAAGGGCGTTCTTGAAAAGTTTTCTGATATAGGGCGTTTTCGAACTGGCTGCTGAGATAGGTCGATCTTTCACTCAGGTGTCAAAATATGACTACTATTTTCTTACTACATATCGTAGGACAGGCGTATAAAAAATTAACAAATGTGAAGTAAATACATATCGTCGCCCTTTTACCAGAAGCATGAATGTGCAAATTTATCCATTTTAAGTTATTGGGTTGACTTGATTAACCTTTGGATGTCCTATGTTATACCAAAACCCAGAATACCATGCGTTCACCGAAACTAAGGGCCCAATTATGTATGGCGACTGATAGCCGATGGGCAACCATATAGTAAAATTTGCATTACGCATGGCTACTGGCTACGATTGTCGGCTACTGAGTCTCGTAGCGCAATTTTCTGTTTCCCGCTTATGAGGATTTTGTTATTTGTTAAATTGTTAAACACATTGGAGCAAAGTTGAAATGTACATGTCATAAAAAAAGTAAATTCGGCCGTTGTCTGCGTTTTTCTGTGTTCTGAGATTAATCGCTATACATAATACAAAGTACTATACTGGTAGCCACAGCGACTAGACCAGCACCTAGACCCCAGTCGCCATATATAATTGGGCCATAAATATTTTACAATGTCAATTACATGAATGCAGAGTTAAGTCTCATAAAAAAATTCAAACTTGATTTCCCAAAATTTTAATTTTTATGGAGTAAAGAAACACTTACTAAAATTAAGAAATTAAATTTAAGCATATAATAAAACGTGACATTCGTAAATATACTTCAGTATTTATTTGAAGATTTATTTAAAGAACTTTGTGAAAGACAACAATTAATCTTGTTCTGCTAGAGGCTTGACAACCCAGCAAATTGGCGCCGTTTATGGTGAAAGGCATTTAGTATCACACTTTTGAACTAAAGCTTTCTTAACCCTTTCAGTGTAACATTTCAATCGCTGATTCTAAAAATTTTAAAATATGTATACCGGCTAATTTTGTATCGTTAATTTCAAAAATCACATCAACAAATTTGTAAAGCTTTGAGCTTTGTTGTCACTCAGGGCCCTTTATAATGGTCACTGATATCCTAGGTGTTTAAAAAAGAAAGTGATGTCAACTATTTTTATTTTTTTGCTTTCATGAAATATATTTCAAAACTATGAATAACACGGTGCCACAAAAACAAAAAAATTTCAGAACGCACGAAAGAATCGATATACTATATGGGCCAAATACAGTAAAACTGCGTTTTTAGTTTTTTACTCTGACGTCAGGATTTTTTTTCAAAGGACTTTGAAATTCTAAAGATATGATTAATTCAAAAAATTATTTAATTAAATTAGTGCAATGTAGTGTATGGGTACCAAATGAAAAAGAACATTCTGTTGAATTTAAAAATACAATAAAGTTTTTTGGTTTACAAGGACGAATAGGTATTGAAAATGCGCTTTTAATAAATTTTATCTTTTCAAGTTAGTAAAGTTTGCAGGACGAAATTCGATGATGGGGTCGTATGTATATATATTAGTCCTCAAACAATCATTTTTTCAAAAATAAATATTGCAAATTTTCAAGGATTTTTAAGGACAAAATTTTTAAAGGACTTCCATACCCATTCGTCTTTATGCACCAACAAATTTATTCTGTTATAATTCTACAGAATTTTTCTTTTATTTTATACCCTTATCTTTATACTACATTGCACAGAATTTTTTAAATAACTTATTAATATATTTTTTTAATTCCAAAGTCCTTTTAAAAAATCCTGACGTCAGAGAGAAAAGCTTAGTACGCAGTTATACGAGATTCAAACAAATGACCACGTTTTGATGTTTTTTAAATATTCGTAATGTTTTTCGAGCTAATTGTTTTGTATTTTTTTTTTGTAAAAGATACCGTTAAAGCTTTAACAAAAACCACATAAATCACAGTTATAAGCTTTATGCAAAATTTTTAATCTGATTCTTTAGAATATTTTTGAGTATGCAAGTTTAGTCTAATGAAGTGCAAGTTTCAAACGGCTAAAAAACCCGCTGATTTCTGAGAATTTCTTTTGGTGACGAATTTCCATATAAGGGTGCCTTTTTTCCATATAAGCATGAAATTCTTATGTAACAAAATGCGGGAGACCGTAAGCAAAAAAATTTAAAAAAATTAACGCCATTTGAAAATTAATTTTACATAAAATAAAACGGAAAAGTAGTCTCCAAAAAGCACTTATCAAAAATCAGCGCGATTTTTTAGCTAGTTGAAACTTGCACTTCATTAGACTAAAATTGTATGGGCTAGAAAACTGCATACCAAAAATGTTGTAAAGATTCAGATTAAAAAGTTGGAAAAAGTTTGCCTTGCGCATTTTCTTCCATATCACGAATGATCGCATGCTATTTCATACGGTAGAAAGTTCGCAACACCGTCAACAACGAAATTACTACAAATCAGCGGTATTTTGTAGACACTTAAAATTTGCACTTTGAAATGAATTTGAATAATAAAACTGCATACCTAAAAAAATTATAAAAATTGTGAATAAAATTTGAGGAACTTAATGAAACTTTTGATGATTTTTTTAATTGTTACAGTCAGAAACTTGGGTTATATGGGTTTTGTTGTAGTGCGAACTATATTTTTATGAAAAATTTATAAAATTTAAATAAAACAAAATATTTCCAAAAATATAAAAAATTATTGTACGATTTCCGCTGACACTCACTGTATATTCGAAACATTAACCAAATCGGACCACAAATAGATGCTTTAGAAATAACTCGAATCCTGCGCCGTGCCGTGAACACATATATAACAGACTGCGCCTACTATACCCCATTGAACCGTTTGGCAAACACCCTTTATAATATTTGTTACCAAATTTTCTGTACTCTATGTTTTTCAACAAAATACGTATGTATAGTGAATAAATTACATATTTGTTTTGTTTTTATTTGCAGTAAACTTGCGTCGTTTGATGGGAAAAAAGCTATTCGTGGCGGTATACCTTTTGTGTTTCGTAAGTACATATTTATATACATACATTAGCTGTAATATCTACCCTTGTTCCATAAGTCCTAGAAGAAGAAGAATCAAAGAAATATTTGTAACACCAGGCCCGCTGGGAGTTCAATAACGTAGTTACTGGAGGATAAAAATAAATTGTATATCGGTGTGACGGCCTCAAAGACCTCAGCAGCAAAATATACCTACGAGGGGAAGTCAATAAGTTCGTGGAATTAAGGGGTTGAAGAGGAGTGACAAATTATGTGTTTACCTAGCACTACTTCGCCACTCATTGCCTCTATGCACTATTGAATGTTTATTTATTTATCTACTTATTTCAAAAGTCAATAAACTACAAAGGTTCTAACTGACTAAAACGATACAGAGAACTAAAGTGCAGAAGGCACTAAAATAAAACCGAATTCAATAAACTACAAAATATATTCTTGGGCAAAGAAAAATCAAGCAAAATAGAATTCGAAATCTCGTTGAGTTCTCGAAGTGCACGCACTAACGGGGCGTTTCTTGCGTAATTCGTACTGAGGGCCTTGAGGTAAAAGGGAAGATTAAAACGAAGTGTTCTCGCAGGAATAAGAAATTGAATAGCAAGCAGTAATGCGGGGCAATCAATTTCACCACTTACCAAGCCACGCACAAAAGTCAAGGAAAGAATAGTCCTTCTGCTTTCGAGGGACTTAAGGTTAATCAAAAGGAGGCGGGAATTGTACGGAGGGATGAGAGTGGAGAAATTGAGGGAAGAAAGGGCATATTTAAGGAAAACTTTTTGAATACGCTCAATTCTATCGATGGCAAATTTATGATGAGGTCTCCAGATGAGTTCTGCGTATTCAAGCTATGGACGAACAAAAGACGTGTAGAGTAATTTCAGAGTGTAGGGATCAGTAAAATTGCAACTATTTCGACGAACAAAGCCCAACGCAGCATATGATTTAGATATGATAAAATTGATGTGGTTATTGTTGCTGGATAAATAAGCGAATCGACACCAGGGATCCTAACTGGGGGAAAATTCCACAATATTGTATGACTCAAACTATTTGGGAGAACGGCTTAAAGTTTAGAGGGAATCGATATGCTCCCGATTTTGAGAAACAATTATTACTGTAAGCTAGCAAATAGTGGGAATCGCTGTGCTCGACAGCTAGGCTGACTTCATAAACGCAGTTTGCAAAGCAACACTATGCGTACAGTTCATAAACGCGATTGCCTTATTTTCGACAATGCCGCACAGCGGGAGAACATAAATTGGTATAAATTCAAGTGTTGGCACAATTCTTCTCGGATCTTGAAGTTTTTTACTTTAAATTAATGGTGATTAAATTCGCTATGACACCTGCCTACGACTTTTTTTATAAAAAGATGTTTAATAATAATTATACATTGTTGGTTGGTTGGCAGAAGCGTCACCTGAGTACATTCCCAGGACCCAATTAGTGTGAAAGCACCATTTTGAGACACTTTCTCTGGTAACCTTGACTTTATCTGCTTTCATGATTCGTTTGGTTCGTCAAACCATTTGGATTTTCCGATGAATCTATTTAGGTTAGTAATGGTGACTTTGGAAATCTCCTCAAGATTTTGGATGGAAAAACTCCCGAGTGTGTTCTGCCTTATTTGTGCTAATGCTGGGCACTCGCAAAGATAGTGTCCCTCAAGATTGCAGCTACGGCACCGAAGGTTATACGGAAGGCCCATTTTAGCTGCATGTACACCAATGGGCCAATGTCCCATTATAGTGGCTATTAATTTGACTATATCTTTCCTCGACCTCTTGAGAAGTTCTTATGTTCCAACGTGTATCAGCCATACGTGTGAATTGCAGATGCACTTCCCTTTTGATGAGTCCGAGTGTCAGCCTTCTCATTTCCTTGCACGTTCCTATGGCTGGGAACCCAGCTGAGAGTGATGTCTATTAACTCGGCCGACGAGCTTAATTCACATTTGCAATCTCTGACTGTTTTGGATTTTGTTACCTGTGAGGCAAGTGCCGCTTGACTATCTGAGAAAATGTATGCTTTTCGTACACCTACGCAGTTCCTCTCTATTGCTTTACAGGCCCTTTCGATGCCCAGTACTTCTGTTTGGAAGATGCTAGCAAAGTTGGGTAGTTGAAACGAGAGAGAGTCATTCAGCGTTTCAGAGAACACCCCCGCACCCACACCGCAGTCCATTTTGGACCCGTCAGTATAGATTTCAGTAGAATTCTCCTCGACTATCCTGCCCCTACTCCAATCCCGTCTTGAAGGAAACTTCACCTGAAAGTTTTTCCTGAAATCTGTCGTAGAAGGTATATAATCTGATTGTTTCCTTGATTCGATAAACTTGTCAAGAATACCACTATGGCCATGCTGCATCGCCCACCAGCAGCCTGACTTTTTCAGTCTGACTGCCGAAGACGAAGCAGTTTCGCGGATATCTAGTTCTATGGGCAATTGATGCAGCATCACATTAAACGCACCAGATGGACATGACTTAATTGTTCCTGTAGCACCTGCGCAAGCTGCTCTTTGTATACTGCCTAATTTCCTGACGTTGTATTGTTTATCTAGTGTTGGCCACCAAACTAACGCCACGTACGTTAGTATTGGTCTTATGATAGCCGTGTACATCCAGAGGACAAGCTTTGGCTTTAATCCCCAGTTTGGTGTCTAATACGACACCCAAGTATTTAGCCCCGGAGGACAATGTGAGAGTCGTTCCATTAAGAGAGGGAAGCCTGAATTGTGGTATTTTTGTCGGTCTTGCTAGGTTGACACCCACTCCACTTTTTATAGCCCAGGTGTTTAGCCAGAGCAAAGCTCCCTCTAGGATTTCACTAATCGTTGAGAGGAAACGACCTGATACCGCCACCACTACATCATCTGCATATGCTACTCTTTCACTCCACCTTTGTTGATATCCAGTAGAATGTCGTTCAGTACCACCACCCATAGTAGCGGAGACAGAACTCCCCCTTGGGGTGTGCCTCTATTTGTATAACGGGATAGCGTTACTGAACCAATGGTTGAAATTATGATCCTGTTTCTGAGCATTTGTTCGATCCACTCGCATATGTGGTCAGATGTTGCCACATTCACAAGAGATCGAAAGTTTGGAATTTCCCAGAAAACGCTTTAAATGTAGGTGTAAAAGTCTTTCCAATACCTTTAGCAGGAAAGATGTAAGACTTATTGGTCGGAAGTCTTTTCCTTTTTCGTGATTTCTTCTTCCCGGTTTGGGAATGAAGACAACTTTGACTCTTTTCCAGCTTTTCGGTATATATGGCAAGCTGATACTGGCTTTGCAGACCCTTTCCAGCCAGGATACCATAGACTCTTCTAATTTCTAGATCATTATCGGAATAATACATAAATATTTAGTTTAGTGTTATCATATCAGTTAGTTTTTATTTAGAACAGGGGGTTTGGATGTACATATTCTAAAATGGAGACAAGAGCCCGCGGGCTTTATTTAATTTTTTAGGAATAACGCCCTCGGGCTTCATTGCCATATCGAAAGAGAAATAATGCCCACCGTCAAAAGGCAATAAAACCCGCGGGTTTTATTTTATTTTCGGCCGCTGTGGTGTAGTGGAGTAGTAGTAAGCAGTGCGCGCTTTCACTCATCAACACCTGGGTTCAAGCCCTGGTCAAAGCAACATCGCAAAATATATAGAAAAAGGTTTTTTCTTAACAGCGGTCGTCCCTCGGTAGGCAATGGCAAACCTCCGAGTGTATTTCAGCCATGAAAAACAGCTTCTCATAAAAGTACAATCGCTGTTCGGAGTCGGCGTAAAACTGTAGGTCCCTCCGATTTGTGTGACAACATCAAGGTGCACACCACAACTCGGAGGAACACTAACATATGTGTAAACGCCAATCTATTATTATTATTATTAATTTCTTTTTCGAAAAGGCAATAACGCCCGCGGGCTTTATTTCTTTTTTTTAGGAAATAAAGCCCTTGGGCGTTATTTCCGCGGGCCTTATTGCACTCCACCGTATGCAGCCCCCTTCAACTCATAGGAGCCGCTTGGAGCCGAATTTCTAGATATTTTGTCCAGCATGTAGACCCCCTCCGGTAGCGGCTTTTCCAGATTTCGTCCAGGGACCTGAGATGATAAATGAATTTTTCGAAATTGTACCAAACGTCAGAAAAAAACTTACCAAATCAAATAAAAATGTACTAACAAAAAATGTTAAACGCTTTCACAAAAACAATGAATGCTTAAAACAAATATACATTTATTTAACGCCTTTTAAATTAACATCCTGTAAAAATATGCATATATGAATGTAGTGCGCCTCTTTATTGATTACGCTTATTTAATAGAATTTACAGCATTAATCACAATATTAAACGGTATTAAATGTGTTTATGTATAACATTACAATCTTAAACGTAGTTACAATAAAGTCGCGTTGGCTTGCGTTCTGGTTGGTTCCAAAATTCAAACTGTTCGTTAGTGGCTCGTTAGTTTGGTTGTCTAGTTCGTCCTCTGTCTTTCACTCGTTTGTTCTCGTTATGTCAAAGTTACGCCCGCTTCTTGTCCTACGTCCGTCTGTCACTCCCACATTCGGCCCTCCTGACTTTGGATTCGACCCGAATTCTGGACGCCATGGTTTGAGATACTCTACCACTGTTGAAGTCGAATTAGGTCCTTCTACTTCATCTAGCTTTTCCACTTTGTAACGGCCATGAGGTGACTTTTCGACGATCTTATACGGTCCAAAGTATTTCTGCTTCAATTTCAAGTTCGTACCAAATTGAGTGCGCTTAATAGCCACTACGTCATTAACTTCGTAATTTACATTCTCCTTGCGTTTGCGGTTATAACCCGACGATTTTCATCTTGAATTGCTGAAATGTTCTTCTTGGCTAATTGTCGAGCTTCGTTGCGATCGGCTTCGACCTACTCAATTGCTTAATTTTCGATAATTTCGTTTGGTGGTGGTGATTTTGACATCCTCATGTCACATCCTGTCAATAGCTTAAAAGGCGCTATTTTCGTGCTTCTCGGAGCAGGGTTGTTTTATGTATTGTTGAACTTTTCCAATGTGCTTGTACCAATGATCGGGGTTATCTTGCGACAGCTTTGCCAACATGGGCATTACGACTTTATGTATTATTTCCACCTGACCGTTTCCTCTCGGCACTCCGGTTGTGATGAGCAAATGCTGTATTTGGTTCTCCTTGCAATAATTCTCAAATGCGTTCGATGTAAAGGCGGAACCCCTATAAGTGATGATCCTCCTGGGGTTGCCAAACGTAGCTTCCTGCTTCGTCAATCGATCAATTACCGCATCTGTACCCGTATCCTTTGTGGGGTAGAGCCTCACGAACTTTGAAAACGCATCCACAACTACAAGGATGTAGTTATACTGCTTCCGAGTCGCCGCGAGTGGACCAACGTGGTC